GACGGCACCTGCTGTAATGGAGTGACGTCCAATAGAGCCACAGCACCCCCCTCCACAGTCACAAGCCCTGCCCCCGCCTCACCCACCGCCCCTCCCGTCTGACCGTCAGTCTCAACGGGACCACAGCAGACCGCCCCTCACCCAGGTACTAACAAACACACACACACACCACACACACCACACACACACACACACACACACACACACACAAACACACACACAACCACACACACAAGCACACACACACACACACACACACACACACACACACACCACACACCACACAACACACACACCACACCACACACACCACACACAACACACAACACAACACACACACACACACACACACACACCACAACACACCACACACACACACCACACACACCACACACAAAATGTGCTTATTCCACATGCTCTATTGCTTATTAAACCCCTCAGACACTGCAACGCCCACACAGGAAACTTAAATCCACCATTCACTTCAAGGGTATAACCTAACATTAAATATATTTACTGTGAGAAACAAGAATAATTTAAATGCTGACTGACTCTAAACTCTGCAGAGTATTCTGAGAGGATAAACTCCCTAATGACTAATGTAAGGAAAACTGCTGTAGTCTACAGAGATAGAGATATTATATGGTAGCTAGCGTACTGTATTATCCCAATTTAGGAATGATCACTGTGTTGCAACAGCAGCAGTTTTCGTGGTATGGAACAGAAAAAAGAGACACAGTAAATATATGAAACAACACTATAATGTATAATCTATATAGATCTAAGAATACTCAATATAACATGTTGGAAATACGTTAGAAATACATTATAGATTATAACGGCTAAGCTTAAATAACAAACACAAAGGATGGTGTATAAAGGAGACTATTGTACAAAGCTATGTCAATGCAAAGATGATGGCATGTGAGTTTATATAATACTGACCAAAGCTCTCCGTCCCAAACAACAGTCTTAAGTTGGACAAACATATAACCATCTCACCCTTTACCTTTTTACAGGTGAGTGAGAAGCTGACATCATTAGAAATGGTTGGGTAACTTAAAACACTATTTCTCAGTTAGTTATACTTGAATACACACATTCAACACAAAAAGGAACACCTAGGCGTGAGTGGTTGACTTCAACATGTCTGCTGGAAAGTTTTCGACATGAGATATTACTCCAACGTTTATAATCCTCAGTGGACGCTATGATATCCCACCATCATCCTTTCCTTTTATTAGGGTTAGTAGAGATCTGTTGCCATAACAACTCTGTCTGTCCTCAGTAAGCGATGTGGACATGGAGGTGGACCACGTCCCACGGAGTCACAGAGTCGTCCCTTCCAACGGGTTCCTCAACGCTCCAAAACACGTGACCGAGCCCGACGAGTGTGAGGCATACATGGGTAACGCAAAGTGGTGTGTGTGGATTTAATAACTAATATATTAGAGCGTTTATCGAAGACATGGATACATACTTCAATAATTCTGGTAAATATGCAGTGGTAAGGAAAGGTACGTTTACTGTATACAAGCACATTTTAGCCATACAACTAACATTAAAAGCAATTGGCTAACGTTACTGTTTGTTTTGATTGCCTTTCTACCTGTAAGAAATGTGTTTGTTTAGTAAATGTGCTAACGAGCCCTCTTTGTTTTTGATTTATTCACAAACATCTTTGGCAAATCAGCCTCCTCTTTCGCTTGCTCTCACGGTTATTGTTACTTTCCCTTTTCCCCCCATGACTATCAGGGATGAAACCGCATAGACACGGAGCAAAAAGAAACACAATTGAAATGGTCATTAAAAAGCTGCAAGAATACAAATGAAGAAACAGAATAACTGGTATAAAATACTATACATAATTAGCCTCTCCTCTTTTAGGCTTATTCTATCTCGTTAGCAGTAATAGGTTATTACTTATTGTTTTACTTTTGAGGATCTGTAACAACAGTTTGTTTGTAAGTCTCTGTAACAGTGATTTAGGTATCTCTGATCTCAACAGTACTTCTTCAAAATGTATTTAACACATATTTAGGACTCAAAGCGGATGTTGTGGCTTCCTGCATTTTGGATATTTCACCCAGAACCATTACTCACCATTTGTTTAATCAGGCAGCTTATTACGCCCTCGCCCTCCAAGTGCCTGTGCCTGTATATTCTCTCTAAAGCATAGAAAGACATCAAGTGTACGAGAAAATTAAAGACTAGAAATAAACATTCCAAAATGTAAACATCTCAAAGAAAATAAATAGCATTAAAAAAAAAAGAAGAAATGTAGAGAAACATAATGTTGTGTTTAATATACAGCCCCTACACCTTCCTGTCATTACACTATAAGTGTAAGCGCTCATCTAGAATGCTGTATATGTCCCTGTTGAATGTCTCGATAGCTATTATTATTATTATTTTAGTCATTTTTTTGTTATACCCCTGGAAATAATTACTGTACTTCTATTTCTTACGTAAGTTTGTATGCTGCTGCGTGTTTTGTTGTTGTGATGTTTTTTGTTTTGATGGCACTTTTTAAAAGGGAGAAGCTTTCCTTTTCCTTTCATTGTACATGTTTAAGGACATGAGATGATTCTGGTTCCGCAGAGGTGGAGTCCGGCATCAGTCGAAGAGGCAGCTGTGCGGTGGCAGCCCAGGCGCGATCGACAAGAGGATGATCCACTCGCCCGCGAGCCTGCAGAGCATGAGCGAACATCATGCGCCGCGAGTGTGGGAAGAACTCCACAACAAGAAGATGCCTGAAGGTACAGGAATCGCTCAGTGGAAAACGATAGTTTACATGAGTTGTTTTTCTGTTGGTGTCAGGACTGTCTTTAACGATTTCATTATACAGCTTAAAACGTGTGCTTTTTTTTACTCAAGACACGGCAAGCTAATAATATGTTGACAAAGCCATTTTGAAGAAACCTAAACACCAACCCTTAACTGAAATAGAGGTACAGTGTATTAGTATGACTTTGATTCAGGTGGTCAATGGCATGAATATAAAAAATGTATAAAAACTGAAGCAGCAGAGACTGAGAAATTCGGACAAAAACTTAAATAAATCTCATCATTTTTGTTCAATGCATCTCAACAAAATCATATTTTTTTTAAAGGTCACCTATCATGCTATTTGTAGGCAATAGCATAGGTCTCAGATATATGTAAAAACATGTCTATGAAGTGTTTTGCTCAAAATACCAAACAGATCACCCATTCCTAATCATGCCTCATATACCTCTATTTCACTCCTGTTTCCAAAGTGCTGATTTGGGTATAAAGCTTTCAAAAAGAAAAAATTGATAAAAAAAAGGAGGGGTCTGACATGCGGGACCCGGCAGCATACCCTGTCTAAACTAAATGCTGCCGTGATGAAACGCCATATCATGGATTATAAAGGATTCTCTCTGAAACAGTATGGAGCTCAAAGGCTTTCTCTCTTGCGGTTATACCACAAGGTGAGTTTCCTTTTTACTGTCCTGTCTTCTTCACACACCAATGCTCTCCAGTACAGGTTAGCTCTGAAGTGTTACGAATGCTAATGTAAACACAGACTATGTGACCCGCACCATCGATATCGAAAATCGTCGGAGTCGCAACTGCTCTTTCAAAAATAAAAGTGGAATTTGCGTAAAAAATAGTTTTTACCGGTGTTTTGTTTGATTTTAACTAAACAAAGCCTTGCTTTCAGAATAATGAAATTTTTTATTTCCAAAAATCCACGAAGCTTGTAAAGGGAAGATGACAGCTCTCACGTCGCCACCCTGCTGTTCCGCAGCGCCGCCTCCCCTCCCTCCTGCTGAAATTAAAATGAATAAGGTGTATAGTAAGTCATATATAACACGGCAGGGTCCCGTTAACAGTTTGTTTTTATCTGATTTCCAAATAAGCAAGTTTGGCTTTCAAGAATATTAAACCATGTTTCGGCAAAAATTCAGATGATAAATACAACTTTTGAAGCTTGTAACGGCATAAATTACAAGCGGAGAACGGAGTAAACTCAACGTCCACCAGCAGGCATAAACAACCAGCCTGTGTTTCTTGTGAGTGTTTTCCCCGGGAAACAAACACAGATACCACAAAAACGCAAACATACACCAAACACACACTCGCGAGCTTCCCCCCAGACCAGTAATCCAAAATATCTTCCCTCCGTAGTACTTTGATCATTTGCTCCGCTAATAATCAATCAGATCGATGGATTCCAGAGAAAAGGATGAAAACTGATTTCGATGGAGCAGGTCACAGATATTACGTCACATCGGACGCAAATCTGGATCAGCTCCGTTGTTCCCCCGTTTTTAGAGATTTGGGTACGGAGGAAAAGAGAGGGTTTTATTTTCTGACACTGCGTGAGTTCCCTGACGCACCGGGGACACATGTTGATGTATAAAAGACATCAAAAAGCACATTTTGCATGATAGGTCCCCTTTAAATACTTTTTGTAGAAAATAATCTGGACATAAGCCATCCTCAAACTGCGACTTGGCACTTAAACGCTTCAGTGTTTTTACAAATGAAGCGTAAGTAATAAGATAAGATGGACCTTTATTAATCCCTGTGGGGAAATTCAGTCATTTGTCTATAAATTAGTTTTAGAGGTGATGGCAGTAGCATTTTGGACTGGATAAGGCTCTCTGTTTTCCAGTCTTAATGCTAAGCTAAGCTAACCAGCTGCTTATGGTAACTTCAAACTTGGTGTACAGACATGTGTTCGGTACAAACCCTCTCAAATATTTCAAGTTAAGAAAGCGCGTAAGCCTGTTTCCCCAAGATGTTGAACTGTTCTTTAAATTGTAACACGCTATAACAACACTAAACTAACCAGTTGTTCTTCAAGAAGATATCACATTTTGACCTCCCTATATCCACTGATATCAGAATCAGGTTTATCACCAGGTAGCTTGACGCGTACGAGGAATTTGACTTGATGTCGTGGTGCATACATAAAAATGTAATTTAAAAAAAATAAAAACACAGAACTATTTTAAGAACACTATAATAACATTAAAAAAATAAGAAGAAATATAGTAAAATAAAGCAGCATTATATTGAAATAGAACGGAATCAAATATGTGTAGTAATAAAACAGATATCTTCAACATTGTGAACATATCTGTATTTTGTGTGTCCTGCTGCAGGATGCCTTCAGCCTGCTGGCGTACTCGGACCCCTGGAGCAGCCCGGTGGGTTTCCAGCTGGACGCCATCCAGAGAGAGCCCGTCTGCTCCACCCTCAACAGTGCAATACTAGGTACGACGTAGCCATTATCAAAGACCCCCATCCCCCCAGCAACAAACTGTTCTGTGTGCTGCTTCAGGACAGAAACCACCAGACTCAGACATTTTCATCCCACAGGCCATAATGCTGCGTCCACACGGGACGCGTCCCGTGTGGACGCAGCATCAGACTGTTGAACACCTGAAGTTTTGAAAGAACATCCATCTGTTTACAACGTACACATTATTTATCTAATATCATATTCCAATCACTTGTAGACTCTCCTTGCACTATTTCTATTCTATTTTATTTGTATTGTATTTACTACTATTGTATCTGTGTTATTGTGTTGCTCTGTTGGAGGAGACCTCAGATGTTCATCTACACTGTAGCTCTGAACACATGACAATAAAGCCTTGAATCTGAATCTTGAATCTTTACTAGTGAAGGAGTATTTTAACAATTCAGTATTAGATTCAAAGGTGTTATCATCATATGCTCAAAGCTACAGTGTAGAAATGGCGCTGAAATTCTTCTGACCCGTGCTCCTCCAGCAATGCAACATATAATAAAATAAAAAGTAGGGCAAAAGTCTATAAACATGTAAATATGATATGTACAGAATATGAGATGAAATGTACATTAAGACAAAATTAAATACGGTTTTAATACTTTTACTTAAATAGAATATTTGCGTACTTCTTACCTTCAGTCCTGACATTGTTGTTGTTGTTCCCTCCTCTTCCTCCAGAGACTCACAACCTGCCGAAGCAGCCCCCCCTCGCCCAGGCGGTGGGCCAGGCGGCGCAGTGCCTCTCCATCATGGCACGCACCGGCACCGGATCCTGCGCCTTCGCCTCTGTGGACGATTACCTGCACTAGCCCCATGCTTAAACACAACACACACACACACACACACACACACACACACACACACACACACACACACACAGTCTGAGGAACTGTCCAGAAACGCCTCCTTCCACCTCCTCCATCAGTGAAGTCGTATTAATGCTCCGATTAAAAAAAGTAGGTGAAAGTTCACTCGCTTCTGCTCCCCGCTGAGGACCTGGAGACGTTTCTGGGCAGGTGTTTTAGATTGCTAACACATCGTACATTTAAAAAACAAAAACATCCCTTTCCATCGTAAATATGAAAAAAACACCTCGCAAACAAACCCCTCTTTCCCCTCCTCCTGCAAGGCTGCGTCTTTCTGACTGACGGTGTGAAAACGCTATTAAAAGGGTAGCCGACTTGGAAAAAAACTCTGTATACAAACCGACCGACCGACTGACTGACAAAAAAAGAAACCCCTGGTCGAAACAGAAGTAGAAAACCGACGAGTGGTCCCTGTAAACCAGGTACACACACACGCACATATAACACGCACACACATATATAACACAGCACACACACACACACACACACACACTAGCATACATTATGGGGGAAGTATTGTGCTGCTCCGTATAATATTTGACCAACTAAATCAAGAACAGTGTTAATTATTATGTGAAAAACATATTTTAGAGGTATTTTGTTGAATATGTGTACAATTTGAGGTTCCACATAGTTTTCAGGTATTTAAACTTCATGCAACAAGACTATATCTTCATTTTTGTTGTTGTTTTTTTTGCAACCTGCTAAGAGGAAAACTCCCAATCAGCAAAGTTCAAATCTATTTTGTTTTAAATGACGATATCTCACACTTGCAGGCACATTTCACACAGAGTATACTTCCACCAGTTTTCACACACTGTTGTTGTTTGAATTGTAAATCTATTTTTCTCTTCGCTGCACTGTCAACATGTTCTCCTGCTGTATGTCAGGCTGTCTTCTCAGTTGTCTGCAGATCAGAAACCCCTTTATTGTTTTCACTGAAACCACACTGGGAAGAATAAACTCCCACAGTCCCTCACAGTGACAGTCGGAGCATTCTAGTAGAAAATATTGAAGGTGAACCACGTAGAAAACCAAGTTCTCTAATTGTTGCACCTTCATTTTGATTATTCTTTGTTCTTCTTTCTAGTCTCTGATGATAAGAGTGAAATTAGTCACCTCTCCTTATAGCTTGTGGTGTCTGTAAACACACAGACTAAATGGAGTCTGTAACCATGGTTACGCTGTGCTTGTTTGGACAAACCTACACCATCAGCAGCGTCATGTACTCTACAGCTAGGGAAAACAAAGTACAACCCTCCTCAGATCCAGTTTAAATAAAGAAGCAATACCTTCATCTGTGTGGTACATTCTGTGTCAAGACACTAGCAAGATTTATTTTTGCAATTGTCAGGAGTTGTCGCTCTGAGCCACAAGCAAACTGCATGAACTTTAACAAATGTAACGCTCCAATGGCGAGTGACGGCATTTTTCACCTGCAAGATGACAGGTTTCAGTTGCATATCCCTGCTGTAATGATGTCCCTTCCTAATTTGTATGGCTCACTTGTTCCATTCTCAGCTTCTCTAAAACACCAGAAGCATTACGGGGCACTATGTTTCATTTCATATTTGTACATAAAATTGTCCTGTCTGTTTGAATAAGATAAAATAAAAATACATGTGTGTGCTTGTGTTTTCAGGTGACATCCATCACCACCAGTGCAGAGTACTGCGAGCAGCTGATCTCCTACAGCTGTCGCATGTCCCGACTGCTCAACACTCCAGGTGAGACGCATCTTTATTCACCGCCGACTCGAGAACACATCACCGAGGGAGGCAGGCTGTTCTGTTCGTCACAGAGCCAGAATGTGATGTGCAATTCATATTAATAACACACTCCTCCCGTCTCCTTCTGTCTGGAGAGGCTGCACAGGGGACACACATTAAACTGGGGTCGTACGGTCATGAGAAACCAGCAAAAATCATCACATTTGAAATGAGTTATTGAAAGGCCTGGAAAAGTTTGGGGAAAATGTCTAATCCCACAAGTCTTGGAGAAGTCATGGAAATAATCTCGCAAAAAATGAGTGTGCAGTTTCATTAGAATCGATTAAGATCATATAAATACTTACTTTCTGCAATGACCGGAGTTACAGGTTGTATTCCAGATAAATGTTAATTTGCAAGAGGTAAATTGGGATGCAAACGTTGTATTTGGTTAGTCTTAGTCTAAGTGTTTGGCATGATGTGATGATTGATATTTCAAACACATTACATTTAGCTAGAGCTTTTAACCCAAAGCGACTTACAATTACAGGGACATCCTCCCTGGAGTAACAAAGGGCTAAGTGCCTTACTCAAGGGCACACTAGTGCTAGTTCCTGGCGGGATTTGAACTCACAACCTTCCGATCTTCAGCCCACCTCACTATCCACCACTATCCCCACTGGCAAGGCAATCAAAGTCTTTACTTTAGAGGCACGGTGTGGCTAATTTGCAGTTTTTCTATTTGAATTGTGTAAAGAAACAAGCCAAATTTGAAAAGTTATCTTGCTCATTTGGTTTGGTTCCTTACTTTAAGTAGCTGACTTTGGACAAATCAGCAGTGCGTCACTGTGTGATAAAAGCCTTAAACCCCTCTAAAGAGTTCATAGGGTTACAGAGTTCTTTGGCCCTTCATCAGCTCCGGATACCGTTGAGAAAATAAAGCTGCTCTCAGACATCACAATCATGAGCCTGGTTTTAATCTGCGGGGTGTTCTTTAATTAGAGTGTAGCAGTCTGCATAAGGACAATTCTCAGGTGTCTGATTTTTATCCACACTGAACCAACTCTTTCAAAAACATCTCGGAGAGGCAGAGACTGAAGGAAGACGGTGAGGGTGCTCAGACCCTCTTCAGGTTAACTTCAGGGAATTTGTCCTGATAACGGATCGAGTTCATGTGACTGAATGGGGACAAAGCCATCATTTATCAGAGTGTGGGAAGTGGTAAAGAGTCTACTTGTCTAGTTTGGAGAGAGCACTTTAAATGAAAAATAATCGACTTCTAAAAATCGGAAGTCGAACTGCAGGATAAAAAGAAAATCTCTGCTGGAGGTTTGAGGCAGATTGATGAGAAGCATACTGTTGCTGTTAATGCTCCGTGAAGTTATTGTGTAAATATAAGGCATAGTTTTTACTCAAAAGACAACAAGTTCCTCCATGACACTGCTGACTTGTTCTGCTGTTTTGTGTAACTATAAAACATGTATTTACTTAGTTTTAGTTATTATTTCCGTCTCCTTATTGCCGCCTACTAATTCATGTTGTTTAAAGCCAGAATCCCAATCCCTACGGTGGCTTTGCTTTAATTCCCCCACATTTGAGCTGTGTCTTTCATCCGGTGGTACCCGGCTCCACAGATGGAGGAACTGAAACAGAGCGTTGGATGTGAGCTGTGGCCTGGCTGGGCTCACGCTCAGTAGATTAGCTTGGATAACATTCATTCGCATTAGATTTGTCTGGACTCAGCGGGTTTGGCTGTAATTAGTTTGAGCGAGGCCTGGCAGGGTTTCCTCTCAGTTTGGTTTGGATTAGTTAGCTTGGCTAGTGAAACGGTGGAGTTGTGTTAGGTTTGTCGTGAATTAGGGGCGCTTGATTTGTGTGATGGCTGGGTTTACTGGAGTTTCTAAAGAGTTCTGAATGGTTTGTATGCAGTGGAGATGAAGGCTTCACGCTGCGTTGTTTTCTTTTTGAGCTCAGTCTGTGTCAAAGCTTGGTATTTAGTATAATATCTTGTTTGAGGAAGACATCAGTGTGTGTGTGTGTGTGTGTGTGTGTGTGTGTGTGTGTGTGTGTGTGTGTGTGTGGGTGTGTGTGTGTGTGTGTGTGTGTGTGTGTGTGTGTGTGTGTGTGTGTGTGTGTGTGTGTGTGTGCGTGTGTGTGTATAGTTTTATTCCCAGTGTGTTTTGAGAATAACAAGCTTGCTGTCATTGTCAGATCTATCTTTTTTTGCCTTTTTACTCTTTTACTCTCTCCTCTGGCAACTCTTTCTCTCTCACACACACACCGTGGGGATAGCTTCATAAAGAAAAGACACTCTTGGCAATTAGAGTGAGTGAGAGGAGAAAGTAAGTGGGTGAGGGGGGGAGAGAGTTTTCTGGTTTAATTGACGTTTGCCTGTGTGTGTGCTGTGTGCGTGTGTGTCCACGGTCCTTAATTGACTGAGTGGGAATAAAGCAATAGGTGGTTAGTAATAGTGGGGTATTAGTGCAGCAGACCAAAACTTTGCCATTAACTTCCACTGCACTGAGAGACGGCACCTATCTACACACACCTTATTAAAACTCTCTTTTTTTGCACTCAAGCTTAAAATGCTGTTGTGGGAACACACACACATGCACACACCCCCTTCCAGCACCACACACACGCTGTCAGTCAGAACTTCATTAACTAGTTCACTCCTAATTCACTACCTTGCAAGTGAGGGAAATCCAATTACCAGTTTAGAATGACTGAGGAAGTACGACCGGGGAAAATCATTTACCCAAAAATATGCTTCATAAATTACCTGTCAACTTTCATCAAATTACCCTGTCAACAGCATTTTCTCTGGCACACACGCATGGCCACGCACACACACACACACACACGCACACACACACACACGCACATATAACACACACACACACGCACATATAACACACACACACACACACACACACACACACACACACACACACACACATACATATAACACATGCACGCACACACACACACACACACACACACACACGCACACACATATATAACACACGCACACACACACACACACACACACACACACACACACACACACACACACACACACACACACACACACACACACATATATATATATATATCACACACACACACACACACACATATATATATAACACACGCTACAGGCTGATGCTGAAAACAGGACGGAAAATACATCTCCATTTGATCCCCGGTCAACTTAAGGCTCCATTAAGGATATCATAAATCCCCCCTTTCTCCCCCCTTTCTCCCCCTTTCACACCTCCACTCACTTCAGGACATTATCGGAGATTTGTGTGGCGCATGTGGACTCGGGACTTTGAAGAAGCCGGAGAGAATCTGCAGTCTGAACTCCCTGTTTTTAATATTCTGTTTTGTTTTCATGAGCAAATTTGCGGGGTGGGTGGGGGGGGGGATGGTTACCTGGCTCTTGTTTTAGGTTTTTCCAGGTTTACAAGGCATCGGCGCAGACTATTATTATTCTTCTTCTTAATTATCATTATATTAATTATTGTTACTTGCATTCACAGTATATTTGTTGAGCGCCAGCAAGAGCAAGTTCCAGTTACTATAATAAAGGTCCCGATCCCATCGATCACCAGTGTGTACATGTTAACGTTTATATATGAATTTAACAAAATGGAATTATATCAATAGAGTGAGATATTTAGTTATCAAATGAAAGGAAATCGTTGAAAAAAAAACAAAAACCCAATTATTTTAATGCTTTGTACCGACATCAGTGACTCCTGAAGCGTCGAGTTCTTATGTCGCCGCTTTTCTTTTGTCCAGGGTTCCTATGCAGGGGAACAATTATACATCTGACCATTTCAAGGTCTTTAAGATGATTACATGTTACTTGTTAGATAATGGAAAACAAACTTAAACTAAAGGATATCTGGAACTTTAATTTCACATGTTTTGTTTCTAGCCGTAAAGTAATGTCTTTACCTCAGCCTAGCTACATTTAGTAAAACCCTCTAAACTTTTCTGGATTTTCGACCCAGTGCAGGAACCCTGCGATGACCTCTGACCCCCGTTTTTACTCGTTAAATCCCCCGCTGCACAGCAAGTTTGATGCAAACGTTGTTAATCTTTATGTTCGTATCGATGTCTATGCTAAACCCCTTATTATCCCACAAAGAACTCAGGAGCCAAACATGTCCCTTTGTTCCTCATGGCTTTAGAATCGGCCGACAGACCCCTCGATTACAGGTGGACTCGTTTTACTTTTATTTTACAAAAAAGCTTCAGACTCGAACGCCGGGAAAAACAAGCGACGGCGAAACTGAGCTGCGATGAAGTGCGCCTCTCAATGAGCTTTGGGTCACTTTCACGGAGGGAAAGATAACGAGACTGCAGCGACGCTCACGCTACTTTTATTTTACAAAAAAGTTAGTATTTTTGAGTTTATTTGTGGAAACCGTTTTTAAGCTTTAAGCGGAAAGAGTGGACTTTTTTTAATGACAACAAAGAGACGGCATAGCAACTTCTGTGGTGCGAAGAGATCATAACCCGGCAGAGTTAACGCCCTTAAATGTTTATACACGTTTATTTTTTCTCCCCGTTTCAACACGTGTTCAAGCTGTTTTTCCCCTGTTGACATTTTGGGTGACTCGTTGCATTTGTATTGCACTCAAAAAGTGGAAGCTAGTAGGCTAGGCTAATTAGCCAAACCCCGAGGAACAGAGCCGGGCATTGAAGCCAGTTACCGTAGTGGCCAAACCAGACCTACATCTGAGGAGACATCTTTTTAATCGACATATTAACACTCAAGTAGCCCTCATCTAAACCATAAGGTCCATACAAGTTTTAAAATGCACTTCTATCCAATCCGTTCTCTGTTCATTCAAACGAGGAGATGCTTGTGCGCCTGCTCTATGGGCCCATAGATGCGCCAATGAGCAACACCTCCAACACGGTATCCAGTTCTCTTTATTTAATCGTGGCTAAAGCTAGTTAGCTCGCTGAAGTTAGCCGCCCCCACACATTCGATCTTTGTCCAGCATTTTATGAAGGAGGACATCTTGTTTTTATCATCTATACATTCAAATCAAACACCAAGGGGATATGTGCTGAATTAGTAGCCGACATTTCTGTTATTTCTGGTTTGGGTCAATGTTGGGTAGCAAAAGTAAAATGTCTTTGTTTTCAGTTTGTCAGATAATAAACCTCAACCTAGTTTGAATGCTAGTTTGATCTCTCTAGTAGCATTTTGCAGATAAACAAGTTATCATTTATATAGCTCCAGTTGAAATAGAGGGGTGCAGCAATTGAGATTTTTGTAAGTTAGCCTCTTCCTGTTTCCCTCCACAAAAAGCCAATGGGATTTCTCTATTGGATTTGGAATATCGCAGAAAATAATATCTGCAGCAAACAAACATTTATGATAGTAAAAAGCTAACGTTAGGCTATAAAGGAACTACAGCACGGTCACAGGACTTCACGTATCACCGCTAAGCTAAACGCGGCTAATGTTGGGCTATAAAGGAACTACAGTACGGTCACATGACTTCACGCATCACCGCTAAGCTAAAGGCGGCTAATGTTTGGCTATAAAGGAACTACAGCACGGTCACATAACTTCACGTCATCACCGCTAAGCTAAAGGCGGCTAATGTTGGGCTATAAAGGAACTACAGCACGGTCACATGACTTCACGTATCACCGCTAAGCTAAAGGCGGCTAATGTTGGGCGTGATGACGTTTAGTCGTCTCATTTAGACACTTGTTACAACCACCGCTTACGTATTTATTGTGGTCAAATAAAAATCTCTTCAGTTTGTGTTAACCCCAGCCCATTGACTTACAGAGGGAACAGGAAGTGCTAAAATGCTAACTCATTCAAGCTCCACTCTTTCAGGAATGAAAGGCCCTAAAGTTTGCTTATCGTCACGGAGGAAAGCTTTCTCTTCTCACTAACTTTTCAGTTTTGTTACAGAGTCCTCCTTGTGTTTCTAAAAGCATCGATGGGGAAAATAAAACAATAAAAAACCTTCAGTATTGTCAACACCACATTTACAAAAATAAAGAACCAAATACTTCGGGAAGGGTCTCTGGAGGAACCGGGCTTTTCTGTCCCTTGGTTTCTCTTCGTTTGTTTTTCGGATCGCAAGCAGTCACGGCATCGTTTAGAAAACTTCTTAGACAAAGTGTCTGTTGTCATTTTCTGAGTACGGTCTGAAACCTATGCATGCCATAGTAAAGTGGTGGTAAGATCAAGTTAGATGTCTCTTATTTTATTCTTTTTTGTTTCTCCTCCTGTTAGCCGGTTAACGGTGTGTAAGGAAGATGTCAACCAGTAAGTTGTCCACTGCTGACTGTGTGTCCATTTGGAGAAAAAAAAAGTGCAATTTGTGTGAGGGTGAAAAGATTTATATTAAAAAAAATGACAAACGATGATTCACGAGTCTGGATGCTGCATGACGCCTGGAGAGGGAACTGTTTTATCCTGTTTGACAAGAAACTACCTTAAAACAAAAGGTGATTTGATTCTAATAACACTTACCCACAGCACACATTACAGAAACTCTAAACCTTGCCCAGTATATGTGTCTAATATCTAGTCAGAATTTGTCTACACCTGATATAAGACTTAACTTCAGAAGTAACACTGCAGTGAGATATCGGGTCTTGTTTTTAGACAATGCATCATCTTAAGTCAAAAGATGTTATTTGGAATCGTATCTCAGATGAAACACATTTATTAGAAAATCACCAACTAACAGAAAACAGAACACTTTTTAGCATTTGAGGATTATATTGTAACAAAGCATTTCCTGATTCTTTTAAATATAGTTAAATGAGTTCTCCAGATAATTACAAAATGTGATTTATCTAAATATGTCTTCTTACCTCAAGGAATCTTACCAGGCTAATGTTCATTTGTTCTATTGGCAGGTTTTTTTTACTTATTTCAAGTGAAAACACCTTGTTTTCATTATTGTTTGACTTGTTTTGGAGCAGCATTTGTTTCCAGTGCATATGTACCCTCAAAGGAAAAGTCCACCTATAAAATCTGCACCCTCTTAATAACTGACCAAACATATAGAAATAACCCTATTATTTAAATTAATGGTTCACCTGTGAGTCTGTAATGGGGAAAAAACGTAAAAAATAACGTTTTCAGAATTAGTTGTGACGTGAGAACCTGGACAATATTACAACAAAAAAAAATAAGGTTATTTGTATTATATGTTGGACAAACTCTGGACCCTTTTAATAACTGACCAAAGATAGAAATAAGCCTATTATTTAAATTAGTGGTTAATCTGAGTCTGTATTGGGAAAAAAACGTTGGCAGAATTAGTTGTGACTTGAAAACCTGGACAATATTATATTTTGAAGGCCTAAAGTAACACTTCAGTACCACAAAACTATAAATAACTTATTCAACTCCTTTGATTAGCTTCTCACCAATATATGCATTTTGTGGGGCCTGTTCAAAAATCAGGTTATTTGTGTAGGACAAACTTAAGTGAAAGGAGTACCGACAGTTTCTAAATGACTGTTTTATCCAGTTTTTCCAAGAAATGACCCTTAAAAAAAGCGATTTTATTCTAATAACACTTACCCACATATGCATCCTCAAAGGAAAAGTCCACTTATAATATCTGGACCCTCTGAATAACTGACCAAACATATAGAAATAAGCCTATAATTTAAATTCGTCGTTAATCTGTTATTCTGTAATGGGAAAGAAACGCAAAAATAACATTTTCAGAATCAGTTGTGACATGAAAACCTGGACAATATTACATTTTTAAGGCGAAAACTATAAGCAACTTAAAATTAAATGAATAACTGCCCAATATATGCATTTTGTGGGTCATGTTATTGTTCAAAAATAAGGCTATTTGTGTTATGTTGGATAAACTTAAGTGAAAGTAACAGTTTCTAACTTAGCTCAAACATCTTTGGCATTCATTATTAGTTACCTGATTCAAGATTTAAAGGTTTATCGTCATTACATAATGTATGAAAAGCTTAGATCACAGGTTCCTCAACAGTGCAATTAACAAGACATAAATAAAGATAGCTCAGGTGTTTATCTGTACGTCTCTACTTAAAGAGCATTAGTTTATTAACTTGATCCCAAAGTAGACGTTTAAAAGCTTATTTAGACCAATAATATGTAATTAGCCGGTTTAAATGAGGAAACGTGATCTTAGAGAAACAGTTTTATTGTAGACCTTCGCATAAAAACAAGTCAACTCATTTTTCTTTGAGCTTTTAATCACATCTCAGTCTTTCAAACATATTTACAGAAATAACAGGCTTTTAATGGAACAGAAAACGAAGAGCAGGTCATGTGATCTACAGGTGGGAAGTCTACCTGTGAATCCACACGTCCTGCTCTTTAATGAACTGATGTAGAAACGTCTCAGTTCAGAAACAAGAGGAACGTTTTGAAAAATACCAAAAAATGATCTGCTGCAAATGTTCCCGTTTCTTTTCCCGTGAGTTAGGGCTAGACGATGAATGACATTATTTAGATATCCTGTTAGACTTGTGATATCGGAACAGATTAAGATTATTTTCCTGGTCGTATCGGCTGCATTAAAGTAAAGTAAGGTTACAAACTGTTTATTAATCAAAAACAATAGTCAACCCCACAATATATTCACACGATGGACAGAGATGTACGAACAGAAATATTGTGATATTTGATGTTACATCATTTCGAACAGATGCATCTTGAATCTTTATTTGAGTTGTTGCAAATCCCATAATAAGTCAATATCAGTCCGTCCACCTCCTTTCCTCACGTCCTCCTCCAGGTTTCCGTGCATTCAATTCACCGTAAAGGCTCCTCTGGTGGATGTTATGTTGATGTCGTCAGCAGGGGATCTGCTGCTTGTGGATCCATCTCTTCTTCAGCTTCTCTGCTTTGGCTTTCTCACTGCAGGCTGAGCACAGACACGAGAGATTAGACACCGAGAAAACATAGATGTATCCAGTCTGCATATTGACTCATCTGGGTCAGTGTGCCATCGGGACACATTGAGCCATAACATGTCACTTCGTTATGTCATTAAACCGGATTTTCCTTCAATCATCTGATAATACATTTTATTTATAGGGCGATTTTCTAGAAACTCAAAGACACTTTACAAAGTCAAATTCATGAATATTTAAAATCTATGAAACACAACATTATATAAACGCTAAAGCAGGGGGGTCAAACTCAATTCCATCGCGGGCCACATTCGCATAAAGGTTGCACTCAAAGGGCCGGTTGTAACTATATAAATATATAATATCTGAATTGGATTATTATCTGATAGGATAATAACTTAGTAATTAACTACATCTGAAAGCAGAAGTCTGGGGCAAATAATTGCAAGTCTCTTCAGTGCACAAAACGAGATGCATTGTGGGACATGTAGTTTATGGGCAACCTGCTTCTGTAAATATAACTGTATAATAAACCTATTATATTCTTTGCAAAGCTCTTGCGGGGCCACAGAAAATGAAGTCGCGGGCCGGATTAGGCCCCCGGGCCTTGAGTTTGAGACCCCTGCGCTAAAGGAAAGGAAACCTGTTCATTGTTCTTTTGAAATAATACGTCATCCCTGCTCCGCTCTATTGCACTAAATATTGACTGATAGTAATAAAAGGTACCAACTATGTACAGTCTAAAAATCAGGACGTGGGGGTTTGACATTTTTGGGATAATCAAACATGCACTGGGTCACATTGAGCCAGGGATATTATTGATTTGACAGAGAAACAAATATAACAGGAGGGTGTTAAGACATTCAGTCTGCATAGTGACTCAACTGGGTCAGTGTGACACCAGGACACACGTCGCTCTGAAACAACACGTTGGGCAACACAAGTTCCCTTCATGACGTCATAAAACTGGCTTTTCCTTCAATAATCTGACGTATATTGGGATTAAAATGCTCGAGCAGGAGACGCATTAGACACTGTTGGAGCTATATTTTTGCTTTATATTATTTAAGCGTTTATTTTCTTGACATTTATAGTGAATGTATTCTTAAATCAGTGTTATTATTTAAGTGAGTTAAAGTCGTTTTTATGAAGGCATGTTTGGGCACTGGGTGTAATTGTATATATTGGAGGCAGGTGGTCGTGGGAGAAGAGAACCAGTGGGATGCAAGCAGGATAAAGAGGAAGGAAAGACACTAAGGAAAGGAATCTAGGAAACCTGTTCATTGTTCTTTTGTTAAAAGCACAAACGGAGATTCTCGCCTATATGATTTGGCCGCTACAGACTTTTTAAAATAATAAACCAGCAGGCTTTACAGACGCTGAATAAAATAAGTTATTAAAAATATTATATTTGATTCTTGCAGAAAATACGTTAATTAAAGCACCTTCGATTACCTATATCTAATTATAAAACTCAATTTAAAAAGCCCAAACTGTGGCAGTTATTCCATAATGAAGTAAAATGATAAAAAACCTTACCCCAGTCTTTATTGACAAACGTCACCGCTGCACTTTTGTTCCTCCCCTTCTTGTTCTCCAGGGACAGCAGCTCGTTGCCTGGAAGCAGAGACACAAACACACGCTTAAATATAAATATCATTTATTTAACCAGGTAGAAGTCTCATGAGCGACCTGTCCAAGAGGCAGGGCCGTTTCTATCTTTTTGGGGGCCCTCGTTTTTACAGTTTAACTACAATGGGGAGATTCCGAAGCCTTTCAGAGGATCTGTGGAGACGCATCAATCTGTGGAGACGCATCAGTCTGTTACACTGTCAAAACAGGCTGATTCACGAAAACCAAGCAATTGAAACGTACACAAAATGATATTAAAAAGGTAAACAATAAGGCTCCTCTACGTCAATAAATGCAAGAGATGCAGCATTTTCTCAATTATATTTTTCATCTTCCTCAGACGTCACTGATTGGCTATACAGGCAGACGAATACAGCTGTAAATCACTAATGAAACATTAAACATGAAATGCATTAACCAGTCAATATGCAAATAAAATAAACTGTTGTCATTTAAAAAGACTTGAATGATGGGATATAAGAGCAATCACATCGACCAATGGATTCTTGTTCTCTGTCCTGATGGACTTGACCCCATAGTGATACAATCTGAGAGTTTCAGCTCCTGTTTTCCAAGCAGGAGGGGCAGCATATTAAAATAATATTCATTTATTTATATTAATGTGGCCGTCTCTCTGCAGGGATCAGATCAGAACTCAAATTGAGACAGATCATCGTCTGTCACAGAGAGCCTGCGTTTAAATCACATGTCAGGGTAAAAAAACTTAATCAAAATGCCGTTAGTAAGTGTGCAATATACACCTGGCTGCTTCATCCTCAGAACTGTTACAGGATGTGTTTTTTGTAAATCGTGTAACTTTTATTATAATTTGTTTGAATGCATGCTATTAGGTAACATTAAGCTGTCTGTGGCTCTTTTCTGCAGAGCCACAGACATGTACGTTTCCCCTCTGTGGGACGAACAAAGGTCTTCTGATTCAAATGAAAACCCTTAATAACTAACAGGTGGTGGAAGTTAGCAGGAAATAATGGGGTTGAGTTATATTATATTAAGGCTCAATTCCAAACCACCCCCTACACCAAGGGTGCCCAACCAGTCGATCGTGAGATGTGTCTAAAAATAGAACAACAATATTCTGTTTTATCGTTAATGTCCTATAACATAATCTTCCTGTGCCAGAATAATGCACTTGAACGCATCAAAGCTTTGTGATTGGCCGGCGTGACCCCTTGTATCGGGGCGTGGCTGGTGGGCAGTGGGCACTATTTCGCTGACGTTGTCCGTGGCAACAGGAGTGACAGTCCGCACACACACAAGACCGCAATTATGGCAGAAGCAAAAAAGCCCAAAATATATAATTTCCACTCCGAGTGGGAGGATGATTATTTTTGTAACTGTTCCAATTCAAAGTCCATCTGTCTCATCTGCAATGCGAGCGTGGCTTTATCGAAGAAGAGTAATTTAGGAGCGGCCTTTCAAAACAGCGCACAAACGCTACGAGACGGAATTCCCTCCTAATTCTGCCCTACGCTCCCAAAAGGGGAGGGGCCTGAAAGGACAGCTAAATGCACAGCAGTCCATTTTCACCAGGCCCAACAACAAGAGCAAGGCTGCTACCAGAGCATCTTATCGTGTCAGTCACGTTCTTGAGAAACACATGAAGTCTTTCAAAGACGGAGAAGTTGTGAAAGAAGCTTTTTGGGGGACAGTAAAAATAACAGTAGTATTTCAACAGGTTTTTGATATAATAAAAACTAAAGTTAGATACCGTTATTAATCAGCTGTACGTTTTAGTTTGTTT